TTATTTTGGATTAGCCGGTTGCCCCCACCGCCCCCTGGTTCTGCCCTCTGGGGTCTGCGCCCCTCCCTCTCCGCCGCACCCCCTTAGCACCCACCCCCAGGAGGCTTTTGTAGTTGTGCATAGAGTTGCGGAGTGAAGGTGGAGGGGGCCTGCTACAGGCTGCAGCCCCAGCCCTGGGGGGGGGTTTTATTCTGATTTTCCCTCCTTTCCTCTTAACTTTTTTTTTTTCTTTTTTTAAAGAAACTGTTTTTTAAACTATTTCTAGGTTTGTGAATGTGAAGCCCCCAGGCCGCAGGGGGCAAAGGGCCAGGTGCCCCCCACCAGCTGAGAACAAAATGTCTATGTGGGTGTGGGCCCCTGGCCGCCTCCCTCCAGCCCTGGAGAGGAGAACAGGGCAGTGTAGGCCAGGCCGAGCCCCTGGAACCATCCCGTCCTGTATCATATGTAAATACTGTGAGGTGAAGCCCCCACCCTCTCTAAGACCCCTTGGGGGTGAGGGCATCGCCCGGCCCCACCCAGCAAAGGTCTCCCTCCCGCGTTTCTGTCCCTTCCTCAGACACCGTTACTGTAAGCTTGCAGGCCTCATCTGTGGCCGAGACAGGCCCGCTCTCTCAGGCCCTAGGGGTCAAGGCCTTGGGCCTGCTCACCCCAAAAACCCAGTGTAGGGGCAAGGGGCGAGGGAAGAGAAGGGCTCGCCCGGAGCCACTGCTGGAAAGGAATTAACTCTCCAAAGGTCTCCCCCTACCCCCTACCTCGGTCAGGCCTCCATGGTTTCTGCTCTGAGCCCCCCCCCCCAATAAGTGGGCATCAGGGGGCACTTGGGAAGGGGTGGACCCCAGGGGAAAGCAAAGGGCTTCTCAGGGAACCCCCACATTCTCTCACTGAAGTATCCCACCAGGATGGTCCCATGGCCACAGCCCCTTGGCAGCCCCGAGCCCCCTTCAAAGGAAAGAGGCTCAGAGTCTGACTTCGTGCACAGCTAGTGACCTGGCTGGTGTGGCAGGGCTGAGGCCCACCCATCGTCCCCTCTGTGTCCCTCTCCCCCAGGTCTGAGGCTGGGGACCTAAGCTCCCTTCCCTATCATAGTCCCCACCCTTAAAACCCCCTTTGGAGAGTTAATTGTCTGTGTGAGGTGCTTAACCTATTAGCCCTGAGAACACAAAGCAATAATCTTTGTTACTGAGATGCGCGGCTGTTCGTGGGTTTTTTTTGTTTTTTGTTTTTAATGTTTCCTAATAAAAGAGAAGCTGCATTTTATTGGTTTTTATTTTTAATTTTCTACACATTTGAGCCAAGTCACGAGAGACTTAGCTTCCCCCTCCACCCTTCCTGTGACCCCCATACCCCCACCCCACTGGGCCCACCCATGGGCTCAGGGCCCTGGAATTCCGTTTTCTGATTTGTTTGGGGAATTTTTTAAAAAGATGTTACATGGTGTTTTGAAGCCAGCAAGTTACCACCCTCCGGTGTCTCTTCTCTCCACATCTGTAACTTCTTTTTCCAGGTTTTATTTTCAGTTTTAAATTCCTAATAAATTATTTGAAAACGGTGCTAGGCTTCGGAGTGTTTTGTGTCTCTGTGTGCATTTCAGGTGTAGGTACCCTGATGACAGCATTTTCCCTCACCTCTTATTTTCCTCCTGGAACAATATTTGACTCACAGGTAAGAAAACATGCCCTGACCAGATGGCTCAGCTCGTCGGCGCGTCATCTGGTACACCAAAAGGTCACAAGTTCGATTCCCAGTCAGGGCACATACCAGGTAACCCTCGAATAGGAGGCAACCAATCGATGTTTTCCTCTCTCTATGTCTCCTTTCCACTCTCTCTGAAAACCAATGGGGAAAAAGATCCTCTAATGAGGATTAAAAAGAAAATTTTATGTACAATAGCATCGAAAGTTAGGAATGAACTTAAGCAAGGAGGGGAAAGACTTGTACAGTGAAAACTATGAAATAGTGCTGAAAAAATTTAAAGAAGGCACAAATAAGTGGAAAGACATCCTGTGTTCATGAATTGGAAGGCAATATGGTTAAGATGTCCATACTCCCCAAAGCCATCAGATTCAATGCAATACCTCTCAAAACCCCAATGGCATTTTTTAGCAGAAATATAAAAATTCATCTTAAACTTCATTTAGAATCTCAAGGGACCCCAAAGAGTCCAAACAATTTTTTAAAAGTTGGTGGGTTCACACTTCCTGATTTCAAGATATATTACAAAAGCTATAGTAATCAAAACAGTGAGGTACTGGCATAGAGACATAGAGACAGACAAGCCAATGAAATAGAACAGAGTACCCAGAAATAAACTCCCACTAATGCGGGCAAATGATCAGCAAGGGCGCCAAGGGCACTCGGTGTGGAAAGGATAGTCTCCAACAAACGTTACTAGGAAAACTTGATAGCTACATGCAAAAGAATGAAGTGGGACCCTTATACCATCTACAAAAATGAGCTCAAAATGAATTAAAGACCTAAATGTAAGACTGAAAACTAGAAAACTAGAAGAAAACTGGGAAACTTCAAGGCATTGGAGTTGGCAATAATTTCTTGGATAGGACATCAAAAAGCACAGGCAAGAGCCCAGCTGGTGTGGCTCAGCTGGTTGCGTGTCATCCCATGGACCGAGAGGTCACTGTTCCATCCCCAGCCAGGTTGCAGGCTCGATCCCCAATAGGAGGCAGCCCAGCAATGTTTCCATCAAAGGACGCTTGCTGCTGCTGTGATTGCCCTTATTAGGATTATTATTTGTTATTAAAGAAAGCCCTGGACTAAGAGGCGGGTGGGCGCACACAGGTTCAAATCCCATCTCCGCCACTTTCAAGCTGTGTGACTCCAACTTATTTATTAAGCTCTCTGAACCAGTTTTATGATCTGTAAAAAGGGGAAGATGGTGAAACAATAATAGCTATGCCAGAAGATCGCGGTTAGGCTGAGAAACAATGCACAGAAAGCCCTTGGCACAGTGCCAAGCGCGTAGAAGCACTCACCAAATGGTAGCTGTTCTTAAGCATTTCCTGGAAGCAGGAGCCTTGTCTTCTAGGGGCCGGGTCGCTGTGACCTTGCTGGGGTGTGGGTATGCCTTCACCTGAAGGAGCCAAGAAGCTATCCTTAGCTGTTTTTTCCACTGGAGCGTGTGTTTTTCCCAGGCTGGGAGAGGCTGTGCTGTGCACACCTGTGCCTGGAACCTGGGGCAGCAGAAGGTCATGGCACACAGGGCACAGGGGCTTGGTGGGCTGCCGCATGACCTGCCGGGTCCATTCCTCTGCCACCTCTGTGTTCCCTGCGAAGGTTCGGATCGTCACATGTAGCAGGTCTCTTTCCAGTAACAGAAGGTTCTAGTAGCAGCCTGCCCCTCCCCCCAACCAGGTGTTCCGCCTAAGTCCCAGCAGGAAAAGCACGTGGGAATTTGTGCAGCCTGCCTTTGTGGAAAGCCTCCAGCTGCCTGGGGGTGGGGAAGAGGGAAGTGGGCAGGACTAAACCTCCTCTGGCCCCCGGGGGGGTTTTCCGCACTCTCACCCACGATTACAATGCCCTGTCACGAGGTGATATTGTGGTGTAAGCACCAGATCCAACTCACAGCTTGGTCTTGCTGTGTGACATTGGGGCAGTTCCTTAACCTCTTGGAGCCTCAGTGGTCCTCTCCAAGGAGTTTGTAGTTGGACCTACCTCCAAGGTTTTTGCCAGGTTCTTAGCCTGGAATAGAGTTAGCACTCAGTAAAATGGTAGTTAATACTTCTGGCCTTAGAGGATTTGGTGGCACCAGCTACACCTCCTTTCTCAGACCACCCCCAACAGGAGCAGTGCCTAGTCCTCTGTTTCATTCTGACCCCAACGAACCCGTAGAAGAGGGGCTTAGCATTTTGCTGGCCCAGCCTTCCCTTTCCTTAGGCAGTCTTTACTCATTCTGGAGGCTGAAGAGGCAGAACCATTCCCCAGGCTGATGCGGGGCCCTGAGCAAACGCTGCTCTCCCTCCAGTGTCTCTTACAGCCCTCACCTGCCTCTGGGCCGGGCCCAGCCAGGCTCCGTGACAGCCTGGACAGCTGTCCGGTAGAACCTATGCGACGATGAAAGCAATATCTGCTCTGTCCAACACAACAGCCGCTAGCCACAGACATGTAGCTACTGAACACTGAGAACTGATATTTAATAGTATTTGATTGCAATGAATTGAAATAGCCACTCGCGGCTAATGACTACATTATTGGACAGATGTAGAAACAGACGAAGAGACAGGTGGCATGTCAACAACCTGAGTCAAATGGGGGCAGAATCAGGCCTAAGCAAACCGATCACCTCCCCTCCCTGGGCCTCAGTTTCCCCATCTGCTTACTAAATGCCGTTTGGTGTTCTCTCATTAGCAGAAAGGCGTTTCCTGGGACTCGTGGACTTGAGATGAAACAGGGAAGCCCTTCCAGATAGATTTCTTCTTTCGTGACCCTGCTGCATGTTCAAGGGAAAAATACAGAGAGACGGAATCCTGGAGTGTGGAGGGTGTGAGCAGAGGCCACCTGGTTAGGATGAGGCTAGTTGATTTTCCACCGACCCACACGCAACATAACCTTGCCCCAGCTGGAGGGAAAGGGTCCGCCAGGAAGTGGCAGGTGTGGGTTCAAGTCTGGACATGGCCATTTCCATCCAGCTCTACCTCAGCTTAGCCTCGGTGTCCTCATCAGGAAAGTGACCAAGGTGCATCCAGGATAAGAAACGATCCGACATAACATGGCCAAGTGATGAAAATGGCACTTTACCTCTGTGATCTTCCTCCCCCAAACCCATCCCCACCCCCCAGGCCAATCATGAGTCAAACATCGGACACATTCCAATAGAGGGGCCTCCTCTGACTGTCAAGGTCATCGACGACAAGGGAGTCTGAGAAACTGCCTCAGCTAAGGGACATGACAGCTGAAGATAGTGGGCTATCTTGGGTGGGATACTGGAACAGAAAAAAAACATTTGGTAAAAACTAAGGAACCATAAATAAGTGATGGGCTTGAGTTTATGAATATTGCATTTGATGATGATAATAATATATCAATATTGGTTCATTAATCATAACAAAGGTACCATACTGAGATAAGATATTAATAAAATATAAATACAATAAAAACACAGCATTGCTGCAGAGATCACATGGGAACTCAATGGGAAAACACAAAGTAAACCAATTATAAAATATTACACATTATGTGAAATATCCAGAATAGGTAAATCTATAGAGACAACAAGCAAGTTGTGGTTGCCTGGGGCCGAGGGAGCGTGACTGCTAATGGGCACAGGATTTCCTTTGGGGGGGATGAAAATGTTCTGGAACTAGATAGAGGTGACGGTTGCCCCACAGTAAATGTACTAAATGCCACTGAACTTTTCAGTTTAAAAATAAAATGGTTGCTCAGCCAGGCGTGGCTCAGCTGTTGAGCATTGACCTGGGATCCAGGTGATCAGGGTTCGATTCCCGGTCAGGGCACATGCCCAGGTTGCGGGTTCGATCAATGACTCATCATTGATGTTTCTCTCTCTCTCTCTCTCTCTCTCCCTCCCTCTCCTTTCCCCTTCTGAAATCAATAAAGATATATTTAAAAATAATAATAAAATGGTTAATTTTATGCTGTGTGAATTTCACCCTCAGATACCAGTTCTGAAACCCTTTTTTAAATTCTATCACTATTCTGGGGGTTTTCTTTGGGGGTTTTCTTACAAACCCACAGTGGGAAATGAGAGAGGGGCTGATATTGGTAAAGTGGGGGGGGCGGTAAAAGGTGTGTCTTAGAATCAGACACACCTAAGTTTGAGCCCCTACTCTGCCATTTGCTAGCTGTGGGACCTGGGGCAAGTTGCTTCACCTCTCTGAATCTGTTTCCTCATCGGCAAAGTGCACCACTCAATGGGATCCACAGCTCAGACCCAGGCACATGAGAAGCTATGGAGGCAGTGGACACTTCCTCCCTGTCCCCCTTCTCCAAGTTTTTCAATGGGGTTGACAGCTTTGCCACCCCCACCCCCAACCATGAAGCTGGGCTGAGTGCCAAGGAGTGGGTATGAGAGTCAAGATTCCAAGACGTGACTCCAGAAATAACCCCTTTCGTTAAAAAGTGCTGATGACCAATACGTACACTGTTTCCATGACCTCCTGCTGGCAGGGCTACTTGCAGTCATCCAAAGCAGGCGGACTCAAGGACAACTTGAAGTTAGTGGGGAGCAAAGCAAACACTAAAGCCTTATCTTGAGGTCGAGGGTGACTATAAGAAGGGAGGCCTCAGGTGGCATCAGTTCTTTCTCACCAGCTTCACGACACACGACACAATGAGACTCCTTGTGCTGGCTGCTCTGCTTACAGGTAGGCAAGTCTTTCCAGCTCTGCCTAAGGTCTCACTTGTCTGGAACGGGGGCCACAGGTCACAGGGCTGGCCAGACCTGGAGTCTTTATTTAGAGCTCCCTGTGGGGCTTAAGAGCTCCCATATTGGGATTCCTTCAGATGCCCCCCCTCACCCCCGCCACAGCTGGCAGCTTTCAACCTTCAGGTCTGAACTCAGATAACCCCTCTCAAAAAGGCCCACCCTGCCCATCCAGGCCAGGAAAGACCCCTCTTCTTTCTCTCTACCATACTGCCTTGGTACAAGGTCCCATCTTCCCAGCACCCATCTCTGCTTGCAATTTGTATCTTTGCTGATTCTGTTTTTTT